GCCCACATTTATTTACATAAAAGTGAAAAATCAGCTAAGGGGGGGGGGGGGCAATGCTTATTGATTGCTGTAACACACCCACAGGCTCATATCTTGGGCTTCAGACTGGGGTGGAGCTACACCCAACATTAACATAAAGAGGTACAATCTTCCGCAATAGGGCCACCGATCCGAACGGGATCAAATGCTATATGCATTTGGTCATTGATTATTATTATGTTTGAAAATGTATGTTTATGAAAATGTACACAATGTTTGGAAGTTTATGCACGTTTATGAGCAGAAGCGCAGTGCACACGATTTATCAATATGCATCTGGTCCCCTGGCGAATAAAATACAAGTTTTAAATTTTTAGTGAGACTTCTTTAAAAAGGGGATGATAATTCTCACTATATAAACATGTAGCAGAACAGTGTTACTTTAACTTTGTAAAAAGGAACTTTACCCTTCACTTTGAAATTACAACAAAGAGACCTTTAGAAATGTTTAGTAATGACAATCTACAAACACATACTTATAGATAATTGCAGGCATTTTTATTCTTTGCATACCTTTTTTTTTCTTTGCCTCCCCATTCTTCTCACAGCCATTTTTACCAAGAGCAGATTACTATAGCTCCCTTTACTTCCTGGAACTCTGGCACTTGTGACTAGCACGTGTCCATGCACATCATCTCGGGGGAGGAAAATGCCTTTCCCTGAGATCTCCTGAGATTACAGACAAGATTTCCCAGCAATGCACTGTGATTGCCAGGTTGCAACGCTTGGGCACAAGCTGCAACATTAATGCCCAAGAACACCAGGAAGTGGAAAAACTGTAACTGTAAGTAAAAGAAAATAAACTAATGGGCGTAAGATGATTTCAAATCACCGTACATAGTTGCATGCTGATGTGATTTTTAGTGAACGGGGAAGAGGTCCACTTTAAGAGGATCTTGCCAATTTGAGATTTACCACAGAAACACTTAAGGTAATGTTTTATGCAAGAGAATTGCCCACATTGATAGTCAAGACTAAAATTAATAATAAAAAAAATCAAAAAATCAATGTTTTTATTAAATTAGGTATATATATTTAGAGGGTGAGCCAACGTTAGGAGCATTTCATTTGCATGTAAATTTTGTTTAAAGGCGAGTCCAGAATACATTTATTTTACATTAGTTTTATATGCAGGAACAGAAAGTAATATGAATATTCCTATGGTATATTGTCAAGAGCTTTGTGTCAACAGATAAAACCCATGCATTTTCCTTAAATACATGAGGTAGATTAAATCATTCACTTTCTTTAATTATCTCAAGTTTGTTTCTTTGTTGCAAAAGGCTATGTGGATTAAAGAGTCTAGAATGCTATTTATACTGTAAGCTAGTGTATTCCATACAACTTTGTCATCTTTTCCTGGTTTTGG